TAGCAGCAGTTTTGCACCTCAGGTGTGTGTTCTTGTTCCTAACAGGGCGTGCAGCTGAGCACATGTTCTTATTGGTAAATTCTTAAGTTTTGGATGTTTTTAGCATCAAATTCCATATTCTTAAGTGCGGGCCGGCACTAGTCTGTATATTCTATATTGAACCACAGGTTTTCATTCTTGATTTCTTCTGCTGCTACCCCAGCGCTGACGTTTCCAAATGCCCCCACTGCTGCACGTTGCACTTGACTCACCCCGCCGCTCAAACCTTCCAGCCGCCAGACAGAGCAGTTCGAGTGGAGTGACACCTCGCCAGCATTCGTCGCGGCGATGGGAGCGATGAACACAACGGAGTTGTTGTTGCGGTGTCTGGCAGAGCTCAAGGTGCCCGCCGCTGACAAGCTCCNTACCCCAGCGCTGACGTTTCCAAATGCCCCCACTGCTGCACGTTGCACTTGACTCACCCCGCCGCTCAAACCTTCCAGCCGCCAGACAGAGCAGTTCGAGTGGAGTGACACCTCGCCAGCATTCGTCGCGGCGATGGGAGCGATGAACACAACGGAGTTGTTGTTGCGGTGTCTGGCAGAGCTCAAGGTGCCCGCCGCTGACAAGCTCCGAGAGCAGCTGGAGGAAGCGAGGGAGCTCCAATCGGCATGTCGTAGAGCCTTAAGGATGCCGAAATCCAAGGGCGAACCAAAGAGGGAAGGACGTTCCAGACGTTGCTCACGGCTGTTGCGTACGATGGAGACGGCCTTCGAAGGTGACAGCCAAGCGCAAGTCCGAGATCTTTGGCGTTCACCCAGAGCACCTCGTCGCCACCCGACGGCGGGTGACAGCGCTGAGGCCTGATCTCCCTCCACTCCAGGCAATCGATGAGAAGGCGTACTACTTCCACTCCCGGACCAAAAGGAGCGACGCACCCCCCCCAGAAATGCTGGAGCTCATGGAAACGTTCTGGCACACCGACGAGGTGTTTTGTGCATCGGGGAACTCCAAAGACATGTGGCGGGAATCCAAGTCGCCCAGTGTCGGAGGAGTCCGAAGTGGAAGAAACTTCCGAGAATGAGGAGGACGACGAAGACGACGAGGACGACGAGGAGGACGAGGACGAGGGGGACAGGGGGAGGAAGAGGAGGGGGGGGAGGAGGGGGGGGAGGAAGGTCCGACTCTGGCGAAAGAGGCGGTTTGTGTCGAGAAGGTGGTTCTCCGGCACAAACTGCACACCGGTTTGGCCTGTTGTTTTTGCTCTGCCTGTCGCGTGCATGAGTACGAGCGGTGCTACACCAGGAGCAAGCACCCGGCCTGCGGCACGAAGCTCGAGGAGCAGGCAGTAGAGGAGACAGTCATCATGGTCACTGGTGTAGATCCTGTGGTTGGGGTGGATCCTGTGGTCGGGAGCAAAAAGAAGGCGAAGAAAATTGTTTTTCGGAAGGGGGCGACCACTTACCTGTCAGATGGACAGGGTTCCCGGTACACAGTTTGGGTCTTATTCTGCGGTAGCAGCAAGTAGATATTGGTTGAAGGGCTGGGTGATGGTGCGTTCAAATCTTGGTTTGCATTTTTGCTGTGTTATTGTGAAGATAAGCGCGTGGTTTGGTGAAGATTGTGCGTGTTGCGACTTGTAAACTTGCGGTTTTTCTGTTGTGCTTCAATCGACAGCGGCGAGAAAAGTATCACGTGCAACACCCATAAATAACTTTATTATCTTGTTTGCCCTCCGACAATTGCAGATAAATGCAGACATGTAAATGAAAAGTCGATCGTACAGGCCGTCATGCCAAGCCAAATTAACTCGATGCCCAATAGCTAGGAATGTTTGCCTCTAAGTCAACAAAACTTTTGTCGAAACACTACAGCTGAACTCTAGGCATGAACCTTAGATGGAGAAAAACGAACAAAAAAAACCCAACCTCATCCACCCGAAATCAAACAAAACTCGGCCCCGTCTTCCCTGGTACCCCTGACACCGTATTGAACAGAAATCCGCTTTCCACCGAAGTGGTTAGGTTAAAGCTGTCGCACGCATATTTCGGCGCGCAAAAGTCTGTGCGGCATTGCTGATCGATATTGCCACCGGTCACACCAAGAGCGAAACATCCGCCGTCTTGCTCTTTCTGAGGCAACCCCCACTCAAGCCCATGTTCCCCCAGACTCCCGACACTGCCACCCCCTGTTCCTGTTGATTGGCCCCAAGACTAGTGCTGCTGGATGAGCACGGCTGACCCGGTTGACAAACGTGAAGAGATGGTTAAGACGTTTTATTGGTTGTCCTTGTAGACACAACCCACGGAAGAGAGTGAGCACAGGGTGCATCACAAACACCGAGGCACTCGTGCAACAGCCGCAAGAAATTCCCCGCAGAAAAGACGCATTCGGAACTCGGAACACGCGACAGCGGAACACGTGACAACTTGTCAAAGATATGATCGGAGATACCCCGAAGATCCAAGATCGGTGAACAGCNCTGTGGTAGACTACAAAGCCTACGAGCTACAGCAGTACCGCCACCTCCGCTGCTGCAGAACGCCACGTTTTGCGAAACGCGAGCACCGGCCCCCCCCCCCCCCCCCCCCCCCCCCCCCCCCCCC